CCCTTTTTTTTGTCATTTTTAAAAGGGGTGCCATTTGCTAAATTTTTAACTACTTGATTTTGCTTTCTATTTTTCAATCTAGGCTTGGGAGGTTATTATCATTCTAATACCCCAAAGTTCTATAACCTTATGACTTAAATATAACACTTCAATACCCTAATCCCATGAAGCCCCTCAACAAATCATTTCATCACGTGCTAAAAAATATTTGAACCAAATTCAACATTTGCTAGTTTCCATAGTAGAGATGCTAATGTTTGATGAATATGAATCTATTTGCATAATAAAAGTATGCTCTACAGCTTTTTATCATATTGCTTTTTTAAGAATAACACTAACTAATTTTTTAAAAATTTGTTTTTCTTTTCTATTACTTTAGCACCCTGTGAAGTTTAACATTGATAAATTTTACGGGGTGAGTTGTTAATATTCGATGAGCATAATTCTTTTTTAAGAATAACACTACCTAATTTTTTTTAGAAGGGGTAACCTTGGTCAATTTTTGTACGGTTTGTCTTTCTTTCTAGTACTAGAGATGAAGCGGAGAGGAAAAACAAAAATATAATATAATGTTTTTGCTAATAAATTTGAACTTCAGCCTTTCAACACTACTTACTCAATTATATATATAACAAAAATATAATATAATGTTTTTGTTAAAAAATTTGAACTTCAACCTTTAATACTACACATAGTTTTTAACATTTAATAATTGTGCTTGTTTTTTTTTTTCATCGTTGAACTCACAAGATGTTATGTATCAACAACAAAGAGGAAGAACATCCAAACATGATTCCTCTTTCGCTTATTTTGATTTGGTAAGGTTGTCTTCTTCCCTCTTATTTCTTTTTCTTTCACTTTTTAAGTTGATTTTATTTTATTATTATTATTATTTTGCTCTAGAAATTGAAGATGAGAAATAGAGAGAGAAAAAAAAAAGTTGAAACTGGTAATAATTTTGAAGAAACCGTAAATAAGCAAACACATAGAAAAATGTAAAAAAACCACTTAACCTAAAATTAATATAGAATTATAAAATTATGTCAGGTCATTTTTGTGAAGTCAAAGGTTATATTGAATGACTTTCTAAATGTTAGAAACTAAAAGGTTACTTGGAGACCAAATAGAAATCCCAAATCGGCCATTATCACCCCCCCAAGTCTTCTCGTAAGTAATAATATTCACTTCATAAGGTTGATGGATGCGCCTTCGTAGTAAGTAACGCCACCTGCCATCGTCCCACGCGGCCAGGAATACTTTTCTTTGTTTTTCCTTTTGTTTTTGTTTTTGTTTTTTTAATATTTCTTCTTTCCTCAAGGGAGTCGCCCCTCATCTGAGTTCATGCCTCTTTTTTAGATAAATAAATTATTCTCCTCCAAACTTCCAACATTTGAACCTGGTGTTCAGACCTTCATTTATAGACAAAGGCCGGCGGGGACCTTTACACTCCTACATCATAATATCATTTGCCTGATCCGAACTACCAGATGGTGAAGGAGACGGAATACTATGACGTACTTGGAGTCAGCCCCGCGGCTACAGAAGCCGAAATCAAGAAAGCTTATTACATCAAGGTGGCTTCCCTTTGCATAATTTCCACCCAGCTTCTGTGATATTCGGCCCGATTTTCTCCCCTTTCCTCAGTTCTCTCTCCTTTTTTTTTTTTTTTTTTTTTTTTTTTTTTTTTTTTTTTTTTTTTTTTTTTTTTTTTTT